TATGAAATATAGTATTTGAATAATAGGATTTACATAAATAGCATAAGATTAATATGAATTTTGAAAAAGTTAAAATTTTGTATTAGAAAAATGTAATTTAAAAAATAATACGTAATTTAAACCAGAGTGAAACTTAAATAAAGAATATAAAATACCTTAACTAAAGTAATTCTTATGCTATAATTAAAAATAAAATTTAAAAAATTCTAATATTTTTAAATATATTAAATATTTTTTATTTAACATAAATGAAAAGTGATATATATTGTACTATTAGAAACTTTTATATTGTTGACACGTGTATAGTAATTTGTTTACCAATCTTCGCTATCAATTTAAGTATAGTTTATTGGATATTGAAAAATTCATTAATTGATGTCAAATTTTCAATTTCTCATCTCACTTTTTCCCATATGAAAAAAATTCTTTACTTTATTTCATTTTTTTTGAAAGTGAATCTCTCCCTTTTTGTTGTGTAATATTCTAAGGAAAAGAAAAACAAAAAACTTCCAACATTTGCACCTCATGCTCCCTGACAAGTGAATATTACTTTATGGGCAATTCTTATTTATTTGTTGGGCATAATAGTAGAACAAGTACAAATATTTCAACTATGTTGTTGTATTTAAACAATTAAAAAATAATAGCAAATAATGGTAATTGAGTATTCTCAAAAGAATTCGAGTGTCATAAAAAAAAAAATTACTATTTAGTACCAATACAACTGAAGATTTTTATTGATCTGTGGTAAGAAGATCAGCTTAAAATTTAAATGATGATCTAAATAATAGACTTCCATTTCCTTACCATAACTTAAATTGTAATCCGAATTAAAAGTGTAGAGTAACAATAACTTAAAGAGATTATAGCCAAAGCGAGCATAGTCCAACGGTACTTGACAAGGTAAGTTCGATTATCCATCCCACATATTATACTTTAAAAATATATATATACTTCAAAATTGTTACTTAAAAAGTAAATTGAAAAACCGACCAAAGTGCCTCAAATTTGCATCAGACCGTTCTCCCCAAGTTGGGGGTAGGATGGGCTTGGGCCAAGCCCAAGGGCTTTCAATATCTTCACAGTGAGGGGGGCATGGCTTTGGAAATGGGTGGAAATTTATATAATTACAAATTTAAGATTGAGATTTTTTATGGTTTAAATATTAATTTGGTAATTACCTCCTCAATATGTTGACTAAAATATATATATATATATATATATATATATATATATATATATATATATATTATTTTGATACTTTTCAAATTTTAGTCAATATACTTTTAAAACGGTCATTTTGATATCCAAATTTTTAAAAGGTCATTTTAATCTCTATTGGTAAAATTTAAAGTGGCCATTGTGGTCTCTATTTGTAAAACTTTAACACAAATTTTATATATAATAGAAATTTTTTAATACAAATTTATTGTTAGATTTCAATAAATTTAACAAGTAAAACGTCATGTGAAGTGAAAAAACTAAAATGGTAATTCTTTTAAAATATAGAAAAGCAAAACAAATATTTAAAAAGTACATAACATAAATTAAAATAAACGGAAGTACATAAGTTAGTTGCGACGTGTCATATAAGAAGTTGAAAACATCTCAAATTAATATATTATATTTTCTTCCATAGAGGGTAGATTATTATTATTATTTTTTTTTAGATAACCATGAGGGTAGATTTTTTTTAAAGACATTTTATACTTTTTCAAATTAAGTTACTATACTTTTCTAAAAATATTTTTAAACCTTCAAATTTTTCTAATAAATTTCAAAATCTACAATATTTTATTGGGGGAAGAAAAGCCACCTCGTAACATTTAAATAAATACATGACAAAAATTTTAAAATAAAGACGAAGATGGATATTTAGACAACGTCAAAGTAAAATATCAAAGTACGACCTTCTAAATTATGAAATCTAAAATCAGGGATAAAGTCATAAAATTTCCAATTTTACATTTCGCCCCTGTAATTTTTTAACTGTAAAAGGTTTTAATAGACAAATGAGAGATTTTTTTTAATTGAAGTATTATATATTATTTTCAGGGTCTAAATACTTTTTGATGTCTATACTTTTAACTTAAATATTATACTTTTAACTTAAATATTCGTTTTAGTTTATGTATTTTTAAGTCTCAACAGTTATGTTAGTTATTATACATTCAAATCATTTATTTTGGTTTTTATATTTTTAAAAAGTGACTAATTTGATCTCTATTTACAAAATTTGAATATACACAATGAAAATCATTTAATACAAATTTATGGTTATGTTTTAAGTAATTTAGTAAGTGAGGTAGAAATTGACATTTCAAAAGCCCAATTAGTTAAATTAACAAAACTTCAATGCATAGACTAAATTAACGTTTTAAAATTACATTGACCAAAACAAACTAAACTTAAAATTATATGGAATAAAATAATATTTTATTATTATTGTTTGATCGTGAAATCAACCAAACTCGGATGAGATGTATCGAAATTCGAAGTACCTGCAAAACAAAGTTAGAACTCTGATGCTCTAGTCAGTATACAATTCGATCTACTGTTATAAAAAGAATAGTTTCGTGTACCTTACCTGGGAGACAAGAAGTTCGGTGCAACTTTCCGAACTGTCAATACTTGTATCAATACGAAAGATATGGTTGAATCTTCTCATTATTCTATATGAGATTCAACATGATGTTGACACATGACAGACCAAGAAGTCCCTAAATAAAGCAAAATAAAATAAGTAAACAATTGATTGACTGAATTAGGAATTGGGATGGAAAGTATTTAAAAAAATTTATGGGAAGAAAAAGGAAATGAAATATGAATGTATAAAATAAAGGGGAGGAATAGGAATAGGATCTTACTGACAAATAGATTGTGGAGGTGGAAAATAGAATCATGGACACGACAGCTACGTGATACGAATACGAAAATCCAGCTGGAATGCTCCATCCCTTCCCTTCACACCGCCCCCAAGATTCCCTCAAGAATCATTTATGTCACACCCCATCATATTCCTTTGTCCCCCACATTTCTCTCTCTTTTAACTTTTAATTTTAATTTACACTATTCTATTCTTTTTTCGTCGCAAARGCTTATCCTTTCCGTTTCATTTTTTAGTACAACATGTAGGTTAGTGGATCGAAATGCTCACTGTTGACCCTTTTGTTTCATTTTTACAATAATAATACTTAAAATTCATTACATTACACTCCAAAAAGATTGCACTTTTTCAAAAAATACAAAAAAGAAAATAAAAGAAAAAAGATTGTACATTGACAGATATTACATTTGTCCCTTTAGCTGGTTTCTTAAGAAAATAGAGGAGCAATGATATTTGTATTATCTACCTAGACCAACTTCAGCAAAACTCAACTCGTTAATTATTAACCTCTACATGTTGATGTTGGTTAAAGATCAAAGAGGTTTGTCAATGTTTATAAGATTTTTTTATTGTTGATATTGATTTTGTTAGGGAATCTGATGGATATTAATATAATGTTAATAGTTCAATAAGCTCAAACGAGTATCCGACAGAAACATCGTATCTTAAACATGTGCACTATCCTTCTCATTTTTAATTGGGTTTGAGATTATCAATAGGGGCACTAAAAAAAAGTTAGATAATAAATACAAATATATGTGTATATATATATATATATATATATATATATATACTAGAAGCAATCTCTTGACAATTTTTGTATTTTTATTTTTTGAGTTCAATCTCTTAGACAATCAAATCATATGAAGATGCATTGAAATTTGAAATACCCTGAGGAAGCAGCAAGAGATTTGTGAAAAAACTTTCAATAAATAGAATATAATTTTAAAAATAAAATTAACATCGCGTAACCTTCCCACATGAGATGCATGTACCATAAACAATGATAAAAGAAACAAAATTAATTAAAAAAAAAACAGTTGACTACGGACCGACCTATCTTCTCCGGATCCGTGGGGATTTTGTACCCGTTGGAGCAATATGATCATTGATCCGAATAATTTTAATGTTCGGTTCGTGGTCCATTTTCTATGTTGCCTCGAAAACGCTACTACTGTGTCGTTTTGGCGATTACTAATTTCCCGTTATCGGAAATCTTTTTCACAAATTAAACGCATCGTATCGTACGAAAGTCAAAATCCAACTTTCCACTGCCCCTCCCGAGGAAGATAACTTTCCAAATGAAAAGATTTTAATTTATAAAACAATGCTTTTATTAGTACAATTTATAAATTAGTTGAGGTGAGGGCTTGCCTCTCCTGCTTTCTAGGATTATTTTTAAAATATCGATTTATTCTAAATAAATTTAAATACTATTTTAATCTAATTCTTAAACTCTTGAGATATTTATTACCGTCATGTTTTACCAATTTTTATTCATTTCAGTTCTTATATTTTATCTATTTTAATCTCGAAAATATATCATTGAACTAGATATGTTTTCATTTGTCATATATTTACAAATGTTTTGTAAGTTTGATATAGTTTAATAATTCATGCAAACTCGGCTAAATGCTTATTTGAAATATTTTACTTTAGTTCTTTTTTGTATAAATAACATTATTCTTTTAAATTATCATCATCGATTTTTTATAAAGTATTCAATAAAAAATAATGAAGCATTTTGTTTACATGATAAACAAATATTTATGTGATAAATATTTGATACTATGCGTAGTGGAACATTGATCAACCTTTGAATCAAATTAATCATACTGTATTAGTGAAAAAAAATTTAATGGTCCGATTAGAATAAATTTTTCTGTAGACTTTCGAAATTAAAAAAAAAAGGAGAAAACAAAAAGTTTGGGATAGAG